TTCTCATAGTAGCTTCATCTGGTCTGATCCTGTTTGGCTGTGACTCCATCCTGGAGAGAAATATCAGCTGTGCTGCTGGTTTTATCTTGAGTTTTCATTGGTCTTATTTCGATTCTTGTGTTCTAGGTATTTTTGATTGTATTTGAGTTCTTGGATATTTCCTGTTTGCCCTCTTGTGTCAGTCTCATTTTCTCTCGCTCCCTTCTTGCCTCTGTTCACACCTGCTTCCAATCTGCTAATTAGCCTGGTCTTTGTTTCTCTCTCCCATATATTCTCCTCCCGTTCAGTTACTCTTTACTGGTTTTTTGTCATTACCTGGTCCCCTTCTTGTTGTGAGTATTCTTGGTTTTGAGCATTTTTGGATTTTTGCTTCTGTCAAACTTTCGTCATTAAAACATTAAAGCAACCACCTCAAGCTTTTGTCTACATCTGGGTCCTGTCAAACCTCCACCCCCAGTGTGACACAATATTAGTAGGAAGTATCCTGCTTCCTATTTTTCCAACATCAACCTAACCTTTCATCTAGTAGGACATTTTTTATCTGACCGGCCGCCAAAGGTTTTTAGACTAGAAGGACTGATCTTAAAGACAATTTAGGAAACCCAAATGTATCTGTTAGTCTCCTCATGCAATAGTTTCTTAGTGCTCTTATTATACAGTAGCAACCATGTAAAATGGTCCTTCCCAGTCAAAGCTAGCTGACTGGCAGCCCCACTTCCCTGCAACTCCCAGCAAAATCTCCTCCAACTTCAAACTCCACACTTTCACTGGATTACAGGGTCTGACCAGGAGATGATGCTTCTCCTTAGATGTTAATGTCCACAAATCATGACAGAAAAGTCTAGTACAAAGACTGATTTTAAAAAGCAATTGTAGGGGACCAGCAAAAGACCAGAGAAGGGGCCATCAAGGAAAGTGGGGACATTTTGAATGGCTACTACCGTATTTGCATGTCTCAGAGGACTTCTTTCTCTCCATTCCTTACCCACACAGGTGGCCTGGCTGTCATCCAGGTGGTATCCTACGTCACAGTGGCAGGTGTAGCCCTCCACTGTGTTGTAACAAACCCCTTGTCCACATATGTCAGGGTTGATCTGGCATTCATCCACCTCTGAGAGAAAAGAAAACGAGCAGAACAATATTGACAGCATTAAAAAACACAATGAGACCCTACAGTGTGCTGTCATAACAAACTTCCAATAACATCCAGCAAGCAGCAGTTGATGGCAGCCTCACAGTGTTGGAATGTGATGAAGACTGAGAAAACATGAAACCTGGAGAAAAAAAGGTGAGTCAGGAATGTGAGACTGACCTGCAAATTGCGTGGGTGCGATGTCCTGCCCTGCGTTGGATGGGAGGATCTTCACTGGTGCAGGAGGAGACGTCTTTTCAACAACTTCTACCAAAATAATAAAAAGAAATAAATGTTTCTACAAATAAAACATACACAAAGGATGGAATTATTGAAAAATATGTTAAGCAGTAAAACATGAGAATATGGTATTATATATATCATAAAAAGGTGTATGAAAAGGGACCTAGTATTGAACCAAGTTGTATTCATTTTCCTGAAAATGTAATTCCAAAAAGTTAAAGTTAAAAGCAAACCAGTGGAATTTGTTTTCCAAGTTTGAGGATGTGTTGCTTCCCATCCAGGAAGCTTTTTCAATTCAAAATTGAAAAAGAAGAGGCTGGTGCTATGTAAACGGGGTCTGTCTACCTTATATTCCATAAATAAGTGTACAGTTGGTGGTACTGAGTTGGAGTTAAGTTAACTAAAAAGGTGAAACACAGAACTGAGTGATAAAGTTTTGCTACATACTTGAAAACCAGCTAAACCAAAAAGGGGGAAAAAAGTAAAAGTAAAAGTAGCATCAGAAACATAGTATGTCCAGTCCTGTGCCAAAAGTATAACAGAATAAACCTGATCAAACAAAAAATAAATAAAACTGAAACAAAGACTGACCTGGTAGAATCTCCTCTGTTGTCCCAAAAGCCTCCACTGGTTTCTCTGGTGTTGGGAGGGGTTGAAAGGATGACCAATCCTGTGGCTCCGTAATCACAGTCACTGGTTTGTTTACAGGAGGGTTTGGTAAAATGGTGTAGCCCATTCCACCAGGGCAGATTTCTTTAAACTTAGCTACAAAATGACACAAACACAGATAACATATCAATGAATTTTTTTGAAGCATTAGAGTGCAGACTGAATCTAAAAGAAGAAACGAGGTATTCTAAATGCAGCAAATAAACAAATATAAATAAAATTACAGGAATGCTGGGACTCATTGTCAACAGAATATGAGAAGAAAGTATGTAAATTTACTCTAGAGATTGAACTATGAATCAATTTTTTGTAAATTTAGCTGCTTTTACCACATTTGGAGAAACATTTATCAATAAAACCTGGAAAGAAATAAGACAGACTGTTTAACTGTTTATAATGTTTACAGAGCTACTTTAAGGCCGTGAGGAAACTTCAAATATTCTACAAAAAAATCCAATTAAACTTTAGCCTACAGTCCAAATACCTAAGATTTTTTAAGTGTGATCTTCACTTTGAATATAGAAAACGTAAACCTGGATAGAGACAGTAAGTTCATTCAAATTAAAACCAAGACTATCTTCATGGCAGGACACTGTTGAAGAAAGCAAAAATTGACCCTTTGCTGAGTTCTACCAATGACCAGTCACACGTTAGCAACCATGCAATGTTTACAATACAACAAAAATACAATGTTTTAGAAATGTTTTTACCTCCATTGCTTCATTCCACATTTTTAAGAAAGATTTATTATTTCGTCTTCATATGTTTTCCTTAAAAAGAGCACTTCGCTCTCAATCTGCAGGTTTACTAGTGGTTCCTAGAATTTCTAAAGTAGAATGGGAGGCAGATCTTTTAGTTATCAGGCTCCTCTCCTGTGGAACCAACTACCAGTTTTAGTCCGTGAGGCAGACACCCTGTCTACTTTTAAGGCTAGGCTTAAAACTTTCCTTTTTGATAAAGCTTATAGTTAGAGTGGCTCAGGTTATCCTGAGCTATCTCTATAGTTATGCTGCTATAGGCTTAGACTGCTGGAGGACATAGGGACCCCTAGTTCATCATTCTGCTTCATTCTATCTCTATTCTCCCACTCTGCAGAATCTGTTCAATCTCTAACGTTCTGCTCTCTCTACTTTTTCTAATAGTAGCTTCATCTCGTCTGTTCCTGTTTGGCTGTGACTCCATCCTGGAGAGAAATATCAGCTGTGCTGCTACCAACAACATCTTTGTTTATAGATGTTGTAGATCAGGCTGTTTTTCAGTGTGGTCCTGTTTCTCTGACTGTGACTAACAGATGGCCGCTCACACTGATCCTGGTTCTGCTGGAGGTTTCTTCCTGTTAAAAGAGTTTTTTCTCTCCACTGTCGCTACAAGCATGCTTGGTGTGAGGGATTGCTGAAAAGTCAATGAGTCAATGCAATCAACTGGTTTTCCTTAGATAGAAAACTTTGAACCAATCTTACTGGATGATCTGGTTGAATTATCTCTGTAGAGTGACCTGAGATGACATGATGTGAATTAGCGCTATAGAAATAGACTGAATAATAAACTGAATTGATGTCAAACACAATGCAAGAGGGACAATCAGGAACTAGCTAGGATTGTGGGTGTCCACATGTCAGTTTGAAGAGCTTGTTTACCGTCTACATGCCCCTCATCCAATGCCAGACAACACACAGTTCACCCGTGAGTGCTCCCCAAAGACTGGCCATGGCACTACGTGTTTTGGCTTTGGGTGCAAACCAGCAGACCGTCGCACAGCATAGCTTCCTGCACGGAGTCTGGGATAGTGTCCGAGGTGTGTCAGGCGCTGTGGACGGCACTACAGCTAGAGTTTCTGCCATTAGGTACCAAACAGGAAATACGCATAGTGTAGATCGGATGCAGAACTGACCAATCAGAGGCCCGCTGTCTGCAATACTGTCTGCTGTCAACTACAATTTTGGGGAGGTGCACCAGAGTGTCTGCAAAGGGGGCGGGGCATATCTGCGTTAACTGCGACACACGCAAACAACCTGGTTTCCGAGCATAAACCAGGCTTTAGACTGCATGCACAAAGTATGGTTTTCAAAGGACCTAAAAATTACAACTTGGGTTTATTGTCCTTTTTGTCATTGGTTAGAATAGATTTTTAAAAGGATAAAGACAGTGAACAACTTTACATCATGTTTGCTACAAGCCCAACAAAACCTAATCATATCTGTGTTATGGATATGAATGTATTCATATCAATTTAGATTGTGCTAAAACCAATTTTAATGATATTTTCAGTAGCAAAGGGAGGCAGAAGTTCCAGCCATTGGTCCATGAATTTAAAGAAAATAAGTCTGGAAAATCCTTGAATATTCTTGAATTTGATGTTAACTAAAGATGGGAGCCCTGCAATGTATTTCATCTGGTTAGTTTCTTTAGCTAAAGGGAAAGTGCATAAGGGTTGATCATAATGAGTGAGATTATGTTTATTTTATTTTTGTTAACAAATTTTGTATTATTTTTATTTCTAGTTAATAAAGTTTTTATGAAAATGCATTACAGGATGTGCTCTCAGCTACAACTAGTAAACCCTTTTCAGTAATGTCTAAATTTGGTTGCTATTTGACCTCTATTAATGCCTTAAGCTCCCTTAAACATGGCCAAACCATCCACCAGGCAAGGTCAGCTTATTTTGGAGAAATGATAAATACTCAGTGAGGCTAGGAGCCTTACCTGATCCAGGATGGGGGCATTTGTCACAGTGAGGGCCCCAGGCTTTGCCCACACTGCAGCAGCAAAGCTGTTTGCTCAGCTGGGCAGATACCGGGTGTAAACATTGCCTTGCCGAGCTGACCAAGCGGAAGCAAGAACCCTTTTCTTCCTGGATGGTGGGTGTGTTGGCTGAAGACGAGTGCAGGAGGAGGACGAAGAGGGCGGAGGAAATGGTAGGCCAAAGTGTAGAAGATACATATTGAAGAGGGAGAACAAAAAGTGGAGAAATAAAGCAGTTCCCATCACCAAAGTTAATATTCCCCAGCCAGAGTCTAAGACCCAATCCCAATACAAACCCTAGCCCTACTTTTAGCCTTAACCCTAAATGTTGCACATTCTTTTGAGGGCAGTGGTGTCCCAAATCCTCTTTACATGTATGACTAGTGGACATACGGGATATGGGTATGAATCTAGCCCTTAAAAACAAGGAGTTCAGAGAAAACATGGAGGACATGGCTTCTTCGAATCGACTTACAGTTTTGTTTGCTTTTTTTACTTTTGAAAGTAAAAACAAATCCCTTAGCGTATGCCTTCTGGATTCCCCTGATTCTCTCATACAACAGATGTTAAGGGAAACGGTGTTTTGAAAATCAGAATGAGACCGCAAGCAGAGAAAGCCCCTGAAACGGAAACAGGCTGCCAACCATGCTCCCATCTGGAAATAAGGAATGACAGCAAGGGGTCAGAGGACCCCACTGGGTAAACAGGACACTAGGGCGGTTAGAGAAGGCAACAGCTTGCTGTTGACAGCACAGGAAGAGAGTGGAGAAGCACAGTATCTTATTATACCTGACAAAGGAAAAGGATAGTTAACCAAGCACAACCTAATTCCCTTTTAACAATTTCAGGATCAATGGTTGTTTTTTTCTTGTATTTTTTTTTTTTTAAAGGTTTGTCTCCTCTCTTATGGTGGCACCTTTCTTATGTATTTGCATAATTTACATTCCAGAAGGTCAACCATGCAGCAAGGGCTGTCCCAATTCCTAGGGAAGATGACCAATCCCTAACAATTCCAGGGTGTGTGGGTAGTGGGCAAAGACTAGTGATAGCAAGTAGGGCTATGGGTTGAAAGTAGGGGGTTTACTGGGACTGGGCCTAAATATGAACCCCAAAACAGACCCCAGCACATAAACAGCCATTATACCACTAGATGAATGACAACAACATTTTGGCATCTAAGCAAAGATAAATGTATGGAAACACAACAAGTTGAAAGGAAACAAGCAAATACTTCATGCACTAAACAGAAGGCTGGGCTAAGGTCAAAGCATGCAGGAGGTTCAGCCTGGATCTCTCCTCTAAAACGCATCAATATGTTTTTGTATGACCGAAAACTTCAGTTACTTCACTATCAGGTAAAAATCAACACTCAAATTATGTTTTTAATAAAAAGGTTACATTTCTTTTCAGTTATCAACGAGATTGATGTCTGAATTGAATTACTTTCTTTAAGAATTTCAATAAACTAGTTTACATACAGCCATCAAGGCGATGAATGTCAAACTCCAAACCTTCTATAACAATTTTATACTACGTAAAAAAATATATACATATATATATATAAAACACTGAGATGATTTTTTTAAAAATGTGACCTAATGGTAATGTTGGTTTTTGATAATAAGGAAGTCAAGCTCTGTTCTAGGAACTCCTCTAGAACCTTTGGAGATGATATCACAGAGAAGGATTCTTCATAAAGTGAAGATGATGAGGGATAACAGTGAACATCCTCTTCATCAGACCAACTGAGGCTTCGTTCAGCCAGCAGCCTGAAGTGACCCAGATGTGATTATTTTTCCCCAGATGCGACCTGGATCTGATCTTTTCATGACAGTCTGAACAAAACTGATTTTCTTCCAATGCGACCCAGGCCACTTGGCTCTGTGGTCCTGAATCCCATAGAAATCTGATCTTTTCAGAAACGACCTGTATCTGAATGGCCTGAACGCCATTATATTAAACAAAGGTCACTATTCTGCGTCTTGCTACGCAGAAGCAGAAGGAAAAGTTGATAACGCCCACAGCGCTCTGGCCCTATCATCCATGTTTACTTTCATAAACACAGAGTATGCTCGCTTCCTGTGACATCATTGCGTCCTCTACTGAGCAAGTGGGACACTTAAGTTTGATGAATGCAGTTCAAACAGGAAATCACAAACAAGTCCCATATATTAGTGTTGTGCCATAAACCATGATCATAATTTTGGACATTGAGAACCAATGTCCACGTTTCCTCTTAACATGATCACTGGAGATGCTGTCTTACCCATAAAACAGCTGTGAGACCTCTTCTCTGCTCTGCAACCCCCTCTCAGCCAACTGGCTCCACAGGACCCCTCCCAAAGGTGTGTTTTATGGTTTTCAACCATGTTTCCCCTTCCTCTTTGTACATAGTAGTTTAGTTTCATAGAGTTCACTAGTTTTTTAGTCAAACGTTTTTAACTGAAATATGTTTGACTTGCAGCTTAATGATTTTTGTTAATAAACAATTTTCAACAGAAGTTGTGGTGAATTTATTCCATGTATGTTCAGAATTATCTGTTTGACCATAATTTGAGCTCAAATTATTTTTCTAACACACAGCTAGTAGGGAGTGTACTCATAAACAATATATGACAGTCCAAATAATAACTGATTAAAAAAGGATATTTGCCACCCCTACCGGGGAGGGCAATAAACATCTTAAAGTATCACAACGTAATATGAATTCCCAGCTGGCTGGGAATTGAATATAACAGTTATTCACCACATTAGGAAATGTGAAAGACCTCACAGACATATTGGACTCCACAAAAAAAAACAGAATTGAACATCAAGGCCTGCAGTGTGAACGTCTTCAATCAGAAGTTTTTCCAGATCTCAACAGAAGATCTTTCCTTCCTACTACAGCTATAAAGGCCTACAAAACCTGGATAAAAACAAACCTGAGTTTCAGCAACATTTCATGATCTTCATCTGATCTGGTTGAATTGTCTGTAAAGTGCCTTGAGGTAACATGATGTAAATTGGAGCTATAGAAATAAACTGAATTGAAATTTAATTGAACATTTAGTTTTCCTTTAGGAATAAGGAAGTATTTTTGAATTTTCTATCTAAGCAACAAGCTTTTAGAAAACCACAACACAGTGGTTTCAGCACAGTCTCTATGACTTTTTGAAGTACAACGAAATTTAAAATAAAGATGTGTTGCTTTACATAGAGAAGTAACAGGCGTTTATCACTCTCACCCTACCAGCCATCCAAGTCCTCAGAAAAGCTTTAGAGGGAGCCTGTGGGCTGGTTGGTGCAAAAGTGTAACATTAATAATGACTTTTCCTCTTCCGCTTTAAATCATTCAAACAATTTAGCTGTTTTTGGTTAAAGGAAAAGTCCGGTCATGATCAGAATTCAAACTCCTGAAAGTACTTTAACAGGGTTTATACAGGAATGAGCAACTCTAATTTAATGCTTTTTGATGCTAATTTAATGCATTTTAATGCATCAACAAGTACCCATGAATCTCATATATATATATATGGAAACGGCCATAAATCTCCACAAGCTACTGTTTTGTAGCAACTGCCAAAAGACTACCAAGAAAACCTGTTTTATTGACATCCTCTTTAGCCCAGCGGCATCTAATGGATGCATAACGCAACGCCAGTCACTACTGTAGCTTCTATTCTATGCGCCTTATAGTGCGGAAAATACGGTACTCTTTGTAGCCAACACCTACAGACATTTACTCCACATTGCACTACTGACATGACTGATGAGAATTACTGACAGTTATATTATTTATGCATATTTGTCTGTAATTTGATCAACAGAGGTTTGTTGTCGTTACCTTGTGTGAACACTGTTCCAGTTTCAGTGACGGAAATATCCAAATCATAAAGTATGTAAACTAGCAAAGCTCAGTATGCGGTCCTGTGTATCAGTGATTACTGTGAATATAGAAAGGTTTGATTAAGTAAACTATTAGAGTTCCTGAGTGAAGGACTTACGTATGCAGGAGGTGAGAGTGGAGTCGGGGCTGTAGCCAGGTTTACATGTGCACATGTAACTACCCAGAGTATTCAGACACTCTCCATTAGAGCAAACACTCTGCAGCTGGCATTCATCCATATCTGTCAATCATTTAAAAAGGAAGACATAATAATTATAAAGAATGCAGTTGCATTACAAAGTGACAGATTGGATATAAATCAGCTGAATCTTTTGGTTTTCAAAAAGATGTTTTCGTTTTTAAGCTTTGTTCTTAACAACAACTTCAAATCTTATTTCCTGCTAATGGTTTATTAAGGATCCCATATTATGGAAAATTCACATTCCAAACATTTTGTAAGAGTCGTGTGTCCTGCAGCCTGTGTATGAGATTCACAAATGAAAACCATCCGTTCACCTCTATCACTGCCGGTCTCCACCTCTTAGCTAATGTGTGCTAAAAGTGCTGTTTGAAGAGAATTCCCCTGATGATGTAAAAAGGGGATATAAGCTATCCAGAGCCATCTGTAGCAGCCCATCAGTCAAGCTGCAGCCTTTGTCTAATGCAGAGGTCTTCAACAGGGGGTCCGTGACCCCTAGGGGGTCCAAGGAGGAACTGCATGGGGTCGCGAATGTTTGAAAACCGTGGATTTTGTGAACCGTTCCACCCCTGATATATATATATATATATATACACACACACACACATCTGGTCTGTTCCTGTTTGGCTGAGACTCCATCCTGGAGAGAAATATCAGCTGTGCTGCTGCCATCAACACCTTTGTAAATAAATGTTCGAGCTTGGCTTGTTTTTCAGTGTAGTCCTTTTTCTCTAACTCTGACATGGGAGCTGGCTCGGAGCTCGTCTGCCTGGCTGTATGTTTCCTGGTCGCCTTTTACAGTTGCCTTTTGTATCTCTGCTTCTGTCTCCTTGAACCCCAGTGGGCCTCAGCAGATGGCCGCTTACACTGAGTCTGGTTCTGCTGGAGGTTTCTTCCTGTTAAAAGGGAGTTTTTCCTCTCCACTGTCGCTACAAGCATGCTTAGTGGGAGGGATTGCCTTAAAGTCAATGAGTCGATGCAATCAACTGGTTTTCCTTAGATAGAAAACTTTGAATCAATTGCCCCATTTACACTACCCTTGAAAAACCGATCCAGGCC